CGCCTCTATGACCTCTCACAAAGAAAATAGTTGACGGCCAGCGGGTCTCCGAGCTTGTTGGTGGCGACGAAACGGTTCAGGTTGAACATACCGCGGGCGTCCGGCACGCAGGCGTCCTTCTCGGTGATGCGTTGGGTGCCCTGGCAGTACACTATCAACGCGTATCGGTGTGGGCCCGATCCTTTGGGCGGGCTTGGTCCGGCGTACTCGGTGACCGTGTCACCGGCCTTTATGTCGCAGTTGTTGGGCACGTTCAAGACGAGCCAGTGGCGCCAGAAGCGGAGCCGTGCGGAAGCACGGCTGGGCGCGTCCGGGTCGACCATGACCACCGTGTAGAAGGCGTTCGAGGGCCCCTTGAACGAGATGCTCTCGGGTGCCGCGCTCGTCTGGTCGCAGGTGAGCGTGTTTCCCATGCGAACCTCGAGGCCGTTCTTGAACCTGATGGTGAGCACCTGCTTGGCAGCCTTCGGGATGACGTCCGGTATGAGGGCCTCTATGGCACTCAGCGTGGCGCCAGAAAGGGATTTCGTCGGCGTACGTGGCGGCGTTACCGGTGGCGGAGTTACCGGCGACTTCGAGCGCTGCTGGGCTTGCTTCTTGCCGACCTGGGCGGTGGTCATGTTTGCGGGCGAGTAGTGGGGGCTCTCTGGCGAGGACCTGGTTGTTGGCGGTGACGGCGGTTCGTCGGCCTCGCTCGACGAGGAGCTTTCTCGCGGCTCTCGCGCCTCCTGACCCGAGCGCTGACCGGCGCGTTCCCCGGTGGTGCTGGTTGCTTGCTTGCTTGTCCGTTACTACTGACACCTACCCACTACCGGGGATTGGCCGAGACGCTGGAGGCTTTTTTTGGAATCGTAAATGCAATTGTAAACACTGCATTCACATCTTCAGAAATGTGGTAACGTAAATTTACTCATTGAGGTAAAATCAATACATAAATGATTTATAAATAGCAAAATACCTTTTAATGTGTGATTGAACTATTGGTTGTTCACCGAAGCACCTGATAATATATTCGTATTGATTCAGTACCAAGGTATCCTCTTTGTGCCACAAGAATCATGAGAGGGCTCCACAGACCTTCCTGTTGCTGTATTATAATTAAGAAACTGAAAATAATAGAATATTCTTAGCGTTCTGAGTATTCTTGATTTTTACAATGGAATGTTTAAGTTCTTTTCTTTAACAAATCAGCGACAGCCTAATAAAGAACAGGCGTCAGTTTCAAGTTCGTTATATACTGCTATGACATATGTAGGGGCGGGCAGCACACCACATCTATATAATTAAAATTTGCTGGTGGTATACGACATCATAATTTTTCGGTTCGCGCTTGCGATTCACGCGTGGGACACCTTTTATCACTGTGCTGCAAGTAGCGTTGAGCGTTGCGCTGTTTTGAACATTTGGGTAAAAGAGTTGTGCCTGTTAATTATTTTACAAAGTGTACGCGCGATGTATAACATTTTTTCTTTGTAGTAATGTTAACAATGACACTCGGAGTAGTTCAAAAAGTTGGCCTTGGATCCTTGTTTCTTCTTCATAAATCTGTGTTTAGTTCGCATATTTTTTGCTTAGCTTACACCGAACATAGCCTCCGCGACGAGCCCCGGCCTCGTGCGCGGGAGCTAATCACGGAGGCCACGCACCAACGTACACTTGGTCAGTACCGCGCCATGCAATCACGTCCTTTTTTTTTTTTTGAAACCATGGCCTTGTTGATCCCTGCGCTGATGGCAAAAAGACTCGGAAGCTCACCGTAATGTAAGATGACAACAAGCTGAACGGTGAAAATACAATAAGATGTTTTCGGACATACGGGAGCGACAGCGAATAAGGAAGTCCCAAGCTTTATCAAGCACACCCTGGGCTCGTCCAGGGGTCTATCTTCTGGTTAAGCTTTCTGCCTTTCTCTTATTTCTCTCTCTCTCTCTCTCTTTCTCTTGGAGGTTAGTTCTATGTAACGTGTGGTACCTTGCTTTAGAAACGAAATATATCATATTTTAAATGTGTTTATAAGTGGGCACTCTGCTGTCTAGACTTCCTGTCTTTCCGTGTATTTCTTCTTTCCTTCTTTGGACATTTACTCTTTTGGTCTGTTTTGCGCTCAGTGGTAACCTACTGGTACACGTAAAAGGTATTGGTCAAGCTGTCGATCGTAACTTCTAAAAGGAGCGGAACTAAACTTAATTTGAATAAAAAGTAATAAAAGGGAAACATGAAAACAAACATGAAAATGTTTTAGAAAATAGAAAGAAAAAGTTTTCAATGGTCGGCAGTACTCGCAGCCTAATCTTTCGGTTGCTTGAACTGTTGCTGTGTAGCATCGTCCTGAAAGCCCAGTGGCTTTCCCAAAATTGACCGGGAAACAAACGACAATTACAACATTTAAAAGTGGAAGAAGAAGACGTTCAGTGGTCCTGCAATGACTGCAACAAACTTGCCTAGCTCCTTGCCTTGCTTCCCTTCGCAATAAAATCTGCCTCCATCTTCCACCGGCTTGTAAATTATGACCACTGAAGCACTGCATACAGATGACTAACCAGCGAAGCTGAAACACACGGCCCTTATTTTCTTCACTGGTTCAATCTCGGTGGTTTATCAAAGGAATTTCACAATCGCGCGTTGAGTCTGTAAAAAAATTTAATTGGTATAAGTTACCTCCCATGTCTTCCATCAATCAATTCTAGGGGATTAGTAGTAGTATTTGTCCAGTTTCTGTGGTACATTCGTTTCTGTTTTAAAATCCACGGATGGCTTGTTTACAAACCATGGACCATGCAGGGTTGAATAGTTCGCGTTGAGAATTCACCTGTTATTTTGACTCGCCCAATTTCTGTGTTACATACTCGCTATCAATCATTCCGTGCATTGGACGACAGATTTTAGTGCGACAGCGTTAAGGAGCTTTATTTGCGAAGATTCCGGCGTCGGCGTCGGTGTCGTTGGTTGTGAGCTTAAAATCATCATCTTGTGAGTGACCAAAATTGAGAAAGATGCACATTAAATTCATAATAAGTATTTGGTGCCAGAGTGATAATTTAACTCAGGCCCTTTGCGTGGCAAGGAGGTGTTCTACCACACAGCCACGCATCTGCTCGCAAATACAGAAAAAATAACTTCCTCTGCTTGTAAATGCAGTGAAAATAACTTTCATGCTTTACAAGCACACGAGTCATGTGTACAAACATTAAAGTATGACATTTAATATCACAGTAATATTGTGTAGTGCAAGCGTTCCGGCGTCAGGACATGTCATTATCGTGACAGCTTAGTGGTTTAAAGTGGGCCACCCATCACAAATGGCGCACACGTTACTGTGTGTATCCATTTAAGATCACGTAGTGGGTGCATAGCAAGTTCGAAAACATTCCAGGCGCATAATTGCTCGTGGTTTAAAGCATGCTACCCATCACACAAAATGCAGCCATATGTGAAAGCTTCAGTGATACAGACCACTTTCAACATACCAGATTTCATTGTAATAATCCACAACTTAATTGTATTTTGTAGCATCGTACATAAAAAAATCAGAGCATATCCACGGAGTGAATGATGACTGGTGGGGCTAAGCGTTTGTCAGTCCGTGCGTGCTTTCGTCCACCCACTTGTTCTTGCTTCCGTCCGTCCATGCGTCCGTCCGTCCGTCCGTCCGTCAGTGTGTCCGTGCATCTGTGTGACCGTCGATGCATCCGTCCGTTCGTACGTCCCTCCATGCGGCCGTCCGTACGTTCGCTCTTCCATCTGTCTGTCCATCCATTCGTGTGCCTGTTCGTGCGGCTGTCCCTCTTTCTATCTCTCTGTCCGTCCATCCGTCCATCCATGCATCCACTCCTCTGCCTGTCTGTGTGTCCATCAGTCCGTCCGTTTATCTGTATGTCCATCCGTCTGTCTGTCTATCTAGTGAACACTCTAAGTACAGCCATCTCACATCTTTTCATCATGTATTCATCATATACAAGTGCCACCATCCAGCGGACATTCTAAGGACCACTTTTTTGGGCATCTGCCACCGGTGGCTACATACACCAACAGAGGATGGACAGACCCACATCCTAAGGAGCTTCGCCCCCTAAAAGCATTCACTAAGCGATTTAGTACGTACTGGGTACCGGATATCACTGTCACGTTCAACTATATAGGCGAAGCTCAAAGGTCTCCCAATTTTCGCTTTCGCCTATCTATCATTGCATCATTGTCAAACGATGGCACAAGGGGAAAGCAAGCAAGCAAGGTTGAGAGGTCAAGCTCTTGTAGCGGGAGTATATTATGTGATTTGAATACAACAATGTCACCAGCGTCAGACGCAATCTGCTATAGACGCAATGACGTTTTTGCGCATACACCAATTTCAAAGCAGCAGCGTAGGGTTCGTGTAATTGAACAAGCTAAATAACCTTCTAGTTGAATTAATTGCATTGCTAAAGAGAAGACAGCTTTACCGGCATAGTACACAACGCACATGCGGTTTACATGATTATTTACACAAAGTAAACCCCGAGATTTTTGGGGTACCCTCCTCCTAGAATTTGCAATTAGGGTGCCAGTGCATAAAGTATTGTACGTTCAGCACACCAAGTAACCTCCGTAAACATGCCAACTAAGGTTCTATTTGATTTCGAAAATAGCGCTGTGTAATTCTTTTATTATTTTCTTATTAGTTGCCAAAATTTTGCGCGGCGAAAGAACGATATAAAGGTGAAGCAGGTGGCGGAAAATTTTTCCCCTTTTCATAGTACATGTTCCTCGGGGAAAAAATGCAGAGTGGAATGGTCAAAAACAAGGCGGTCGTAATTTTCGTCATTTCGCTGTTTTCGTTCACACTGCTCCAAAACGTTCTGAGCTTTTCACAGTTACTTCGCGCGCACCACATCATCACCACGATGCACTCCTCCACTGCAAGACTCCCATAAGCATCCGTAACAAAGAACACTCGGCTTGTCTCGAGCCGCCCACCGTTGACGTTCCACAGTTGGTGACATGTTGTAACCACAGTTGATGATCTTGTAACCACCGTGTCAGCACCGTGGAAAGGCTCCACTAGGAGCGTCAGATGGCAGGTTCAGTCTCTATTTCTACATTCCCATGACGCGGCAGAGGAGTCCGGTTAGCGCCAGACAAATGGCGGTCAACCAGGACACTAGCGGCGTTACTCCATCCACGTAAGCATCCTCGGCGAGGAAGTAATTTATCGCTATGGGATTGCCCAAGCGGTGTTCTATGGCGAACTTGGTGATGTTGAAGTTCTTCCTCTTGTCGTACGGCACGACCAGCGTCCGGGGCATCTCGATGGGCCTGTACTGCTTGTAGGCCAGGAAGGCGTACCGGTGCGGTCCCGATCCCATCGGAGGCTTGGGACCGCGGTACTGGAACAGCTCGGTCCCCTTCTTGTAGTCGACGGGCTTCTTGGTGTCTCCCGCATCCAGGTTGACTACGAGCCAGTGGAGGATAGGCCGGAACTTTGGATCCGACTTGCTGGGTGCGTCGGGGTCCAGCATGGCTATAGCGTACGTGTTGCCCGCGGTTCTCGGGAAGTCGACGCCCGACGGCGCGCTGGACGCCTGCTCCGGTGTGAAGTGGTTGCCCATGGCGATCTCGCCCGACTTGAATTGCGCCTCGAAGATGCCCCGCGGTATCGTCTCGATCAGGTCCGGCGCGAGCTTACTTCTTTCGGCCTTTGCAATGAGTGCGAGCTGCCTCTTGTCCAGCTCCTCGACGCCGCACGCGGAATGGGCGACAAAAGCGAGCAGTATGGTCGCGACGGTGACTGCGAGCCGCATCGTGCTGGTGGTACTGGGCGGACTCCGCATGTAGCGAGATGTGATGCCGCTCCGCACAGCGAGTGGTCTGAGCGACGTTTACATACGGGAGGCTTACGCTGTGTGTTGCGACGGCAGTCGATGTCCGAAGAATGGGTCTTGAGGCGATGCCAACTGCGCAAAAGCGTGCGCTCGTACAAGGCCACGTGGGGAGAAATTTCTTTCCCGGGCTCAAGTGTGGAACCGGTCCGCCGGAGGCACGAAGGATTCGGAAGGCCACATTGCCGCCGCCTCCGCCACCGCTTTCGCCGTCGCCGCTGCCGCTGGGCAGTGGACTGAATAAAACGGGTGCTTCTTCTTCTTCTTTGTTTGGAACAGCGGAAAGTCCTAATATGTCTGCCCATAAAAAGCGCATTTTTTTTGGCACCTCCTCAGTACGATTACGTAAAGGAGTATTCACGCGAAATTTCAAGACGTTCGTACTAGTTACTCTTAACGTACTATTGTCCTGAACCCTAAAGGGTGCTCCTGAGTTGATGGTAACGCATTTATTTCATTATAATATACCACTACTTTCAAAAACAACTCTCAGTTTTGATATTAGGGGATGGTATCACACCGGCGCGTAAAAACATCGTGACCTAGACTCAACTCAAGTCACGTGGGCACATCAAATCGTGATGCTTTTCAAGCCCTTTACAGTTAGCTGTTAGTTGTAAGTGTTACCCATCAGCAAAGAACGATGAGCTGACATCCAGCGGCTCTGATAGCAATTTCGGTCGTATACAGGACACAGAGTTGACAAATTTAGCGAACTATGTCGACTCGGCCTGATAATGGCCATTGCGGTTATATTGTCTTGTAATGAAACTTCAAACTGGGTCATGAAAACTTTAAAATTGAACTGATATATGTAATACATCTTTCTTGCCTCTGATGTGCGGACACTGGACAGCGTTTACAGTGCATCCAAAGAAAACAAAAATTATATTAGTACTCCTGTAAGTCCTCAATGATTTAACCCATTAAAGAAATGCTGCGTTCGAGCTGCATTGCTGGCTGTCCTCACTAGCTGACACCTTTCGAGAGTAAGCAGCACAGAAATATGGGGCGAGTGTTTATGCGTAATCACTGTCAAAATGCAATGCAGGGTGGTACAATACGTCTTTCTTTTTTCGTTGTGGCCCATCCTGCCATGCTGTTTGGCCAAGAAGAACCTTTTCGCGAAACAAGAAAAGTTCAATCAAATACTAACTTGGTGGCAATTTCGTGCACTGCCTATTGTGGCCCTTTGAGGCTGAAAGTGTGATTCAAAGTATAAGAATGGTTATAACTTCCGGAAGCTAAGTGACACGAAGCAAAATGCGAGGTAAGGCAAATGTTTATTACGGAGTCACCACTCAAACAGGCATGCTATACGCAAGATGTTATAGAGTAGAGGCTAATGAGCACGCTTTTGAAGCCGGAATCGCGAACTATAACAATCAACATAACATTTTCTATTTTAAATTAACCTGATAATTTGAAACGGTTGTTTCCTCGTACACGTTAATTCGCGTAACATAATTTTCAATGTCATCTGCGTCTTCGTATGACAGTTACTCACCAACAACTATGGAAAACCAACCACTCCGTACATGAATAACCAGGGAAGCTAAACATGCGGCCGCTGTGGTTCCTAAAGGCTATCTCAATTCTGAGTTACGTCTGTTCAGAAATATTATTTAGTGGTGGCAGCCCTATGTTCTCGTCGTTTTTTCGGGACCAGTGGTAAGCAGTGGGGCTCGGCCAGTTTATGCGGCCCATGCGCACCAAGATCTATTGCGTGCATAGAATGGGCGAAGATCAGTATTACCTATCTATATAGGGTTTCGCTGTCAAAACTGGATGGTTGCTAAACCGAAATCGCGCAGTTACACTATCATCATATCCTTTCAGGTGATCAGAATTAGGCCTGAAATCTTAAAACTGTTTTTTCTGTTTTTTAATACCATAAATAACCACAGAACATTTCACATTTCGTGGCCTATATTATGTGCTGCAATAAAAACAAGCTTGACATAGTTTTCAGTATCGTCTGTTTCTTCATAAAGTAGGTACGCACAAACAATAAGGGACAACCAACCCAAACATTTGCAATCGTATCCAGTTCTTAGCGAGCCGACATAGTGGGTGTCAGTGATGTTTGGATAAAAGGGAGTCATTCGGCCAGATTCGTGGTATATTCATGGTATTTATTTATTTTATACTTATTAAAATATTTTTACATAACGTTAAACTCACTCCTGCAATTATCTGTTTGTAATTCGTCACCATCCTTGCTGAAGAGTGGTATGGATAGTATACATTGGTTAGGACATCGGAACGGACACCACGATATGTGAAGTGCGGGCAAGGAGCACCAATGCTTACTGATAGTGACAAAATTAAGAAGTTTGGAGGCGTAAAATGGAATCGGCTCATACACGACAGAGCAGGCTGGACACCGTTGGGAGAGTCCTCCGTCCTGCACTGTACAGAAGACAGGCTGATGATGATGATGATGATGATGATGATGATGATGATGATGATGATGATGATGATGATGATGATGATGATGATGATGATGATGATGATGACGATAAAAATTCCCACATCACTTCATTTCATTTATTTTGCCATCAATCGCACAAAGCTTTACAGAGGAGACAGGGGACCAAAAAAATGACAAGTAAAAGCGAACTGTATTCACGTAGAATGAACAGCAGCCCCAGCACATGTGAAGATACGATGTAAAGCTGATACAACTGAATTTAAATACACGTTACAATGAGAAATACGAACCAAACAAGCTATAAGTAATAAAATGTATGCCTTAGGCGTCATCAAGTGAATACTTGCGTATAGTGGAACAAAACAAGCCGTGAAATTAAATCCAAATTATAGCACGGGAGAATGGTTCCAGTTTTCGCACGTGCGTAGTACAAAGTACTAACACATGTACCAGATGTTAATGGTCGAAATGAGCTTCAGGATAGCATGAAGTCGTAGCGCAATGAGCTTTTAAAACTCCATTGTTAAATTGGTTGATTACTTCGTTGCGGGTATTTGCCATACTATGGCATATCACCATTATCATCACTATCGTTCGAGTAAGACGCGAGTGGCTAGCCTAACCCGAAAGCAGGTGAAAAGGGGCATCATGCCGTCCCCGTCGCTCATACTGAGCGTTGCTCTGGCGGCCAGCTTCGTGCCTCTGTCAAATCTTAGCCGCTCCTATATCCACAAAACCAGGAAGAGCCAAATGCAACCGTTCGCGGATACCCTGGCCTACCTCGCCAAGGACATGAGACTCAGACTACTTCAGGAACGAGTAAGGACCTCCTCGCACGTGAAAAGAGGCGAATTTCGCCTTTAGAGCTCTTTGCATGCTGCCCTTATGAAATTAGCCACATCGCTGGCCGTTCCCATCTCCTATCACACAGTGACATAAGGGGGAAAAAAGATATTATTCAGAGTTCTTGGTATTAATAGCTTCTACGATGCGCCATGGATGAAGCTTCTTAACGTGCTCGTACTTCAACATGATGGCTTCAAGGTGACATCTAGGTAGAATAATCGGACCGTTATTAAGGTTTGTTCATGTGGTAATGATGCCGCTGAAGTGTTGTCACCTTTGCGCATGTATGACGGAAGAACGTCATGTGATGCGCTACAAATGTGACATCACACACTTCGCGCCACATTATGTTGATAATCTGACATGGCGGCTTTAATCATGACAGTGCAAGCTATTCGCAATCGAACATCGTTTTACTCGTGCACATATGCGTGCACGCATGAATGTCGAGACCACTCCTCCACCGACCCCTCTTATTATTAAAGGGCACCAAGTCTGAATCGGACTTGCTTCTTCTTTGCTTCATTTATTGAGCATGCTTATGAACATGCCCCTTTTACTGATATTGGCTGTGTATTTCCCTTGATATTGCACTTTTCAAAGTGTTTACTTCAAAGCCGTAACATCTGAAGATAGGGAACCAAAATTTATTTATTTATTTATTTATTTATTTATTTATTCATTTATTTATTTGTTTATTTATTGTACCCTCAGGGCTTTACAGCATTGCAGAGGTGAGCGGGTACTGACGAACAATGTTAAAGAAAAGGATACATAGACAAGACACTAGAACGTTACTAAACACTGGAAAGCAACTATTATCAACTGCAACTATGTTATACAGCCAGTAGATTATACAGGAAAACTAACAACAAAATCAAACGCTTACATTTCCAACACCAAGTATGTTATCGAGCGATGTTTTAAAACTGCAAGGCGAGGTGATGGATGCAACTGATTGTGGGAGGCGGTTCCAATCCTTGCAAGTTTTAGGCAGGAATGAGTGGGAATATGTTGATGTCTTGAAGCGAGGAACAGCAACTTTCTGCGCATGGTCAGTACGAGTTGTAATGTATGACGGTGGGGTTATTAAAAGTGAACGCAGAAGGGAGTTGTTGTAAATTTTGTGGAAGAGTACGAGACGAGATAACTTACGGCGTGTAGCGAGTAAAGGAATGTTAATCATTGATTTCATGTTTGTTACGCTAGCGGTACGGCGATAATCTGATAATATAAATCTAACAGCGCGATTCTGAATGCTCTCAAGTTCGTTAACTAAAGTGATATTACCAGGGTCCCATATCGATGACGCGTATTCCAAATGCAGACGAACGTACGTAATGTAAAGAAGCTTTTTTAAATCAACAGGGTCCATGTAAAAGTTTCTTCGCATGAATCCTAGAACCCGATCTGTCTTACATGTGACAGAGTTGATATGATGTTTCCAAGATAGGTTGTTAGTAATATGGACACCAAGGTATTTATAAGAGGGGACGGGATCCAGTACGGCGCTGTTAAGGAAATAATTTGAACATGCGGTAGTATTACGTGACATGCGCATAGACTTGCACTTCGAAACATTTAATTCCATTTGCCATAATTTACACCAGTTAAGCACGTTAGTAAAATCTGATTGGAGGGTAGTGATGTCATTATTATTAGATATTTGGCGATTAATTACACAATCATCCGCGAATAGGCGCATTGTTGAAGAAATATTGTTAGGCAAGTCGTTAATGTAAATTAGGAAGAGCAATGGCCCAAGGACAGACCCCTGT